CTGATTGGCTGGCAATCAAGCCTGATTGGCTGGCAATCAAGCCTGATGATGGCAGATGAGATTCTGCCGAAACGTTGCTACAACTTTAAAAGCACAACTATAATGACGTGGGAAATTACCCGAACAAAGCTGAATACCATACATGTAAGTACGTACATATATATATGGATTAAGCCTTATTACATCAATATATATATGCATAGACTAAGCCAAGGTCAACCATCTTGGCATACCAGATGAGTGAGAAACCACCTGAAGATATACTCCATATGACATTATAAACACATCAGATTGGATGACCAGTCGGGACTCTTGGGGAAGGGAACCTGGGATAACTTTCAATATGCAATATTTGTGCCTATTTGTCTCAGATCTTGCTTTTCTTTTGTTGCTATCACTTCAGACTCAGTAAAAGTACTTTTTCTCAATCTAAATGGAATTGAAGGGTTCCTTTCTTGGGTTTTGAATGAGGCACACCTGACAGGAACTGTGAATTTGGGTCTTCAAATCCTGATGCAGAATCAGTTACAGAACAAACCACAATGGATATGGAGCATTCCCCTAGGAAGGGGTGGGTTGTAGTCAACAATATAGAAACATAAGTTAGAACACCTTAAGACAAAGTATTTTATAAGATGGCTAAATATATTGCCAGTTACTAAAAACAAAACAAAAACAATCCAAAAGGACATATTTCATCATCACAATATGTCTCATCTCTAGCTCATAGATACATTTGAAGTAAATCAGAGGACTGTCAGACTTGTAGAAAATTCTGAATAATCTGAATCATGTAGTTAAATCTACTCTAATAGATTTTATTCATGAGGAAATATAGTACAATGTATCAAAATATTGATATATTTTAAAATACATCTTCATCTGTTTTACAGACATTTACAGAGGGAATGGTAAAAATATTTATACATTGTACCATTTAAGAATCCAACTGAAGATCACCATGAAGCAAAATTTCAGCTTTAAAAGAAGTGTGTGCAACATGTTTATTTCTATTGTGCAAGTCTTATGTACAATCCCTGAAAGCTAAACTAGACAGTGAATTTTGTTGTTCTCTCCTAAAATTATTTTATACTACTATAAATGGATGGCACATTATGAATGCATGGTGGGTCACAGTTAGACCAGAAGCAGCAGAACATATTACATATTTTATAACATGGCTCAGAGGCAAGTTTACTATTTCCAGATACTGTTTTGACTTCTTAGAAATTTAGACTTCTTAATAATGATGTAGATTTTAATCAGAAATTTTTCTATGGCAGAAATGACAGAAATTATGATTAATACTGTTCTATCTAACATGAACGTCTCTACCTCTCCTTTACAACTACATAAATTAATGACCACTGAGACATTTGGTATAGTATAAGTACTTCTTCAGTGAATGAGTCAAGATTTTAATATTCTGTTGGCTTCCGGTTTGAGCCTCCTTGCGGACAGACCGACACCACGATTGTGTGCGATTTTGATCCATACTCACCACTGGAGCGCCCCGAGCCAGCTGGTTTCAGGGCTAAGCCACCCCATAGAGGTGGTGAAGGGGGGGGAGACTGCCAGCAGGGTTGAGGAGAGCCGCATCTCTCCTCCTCAGCTGGCCATTACTCTCTTTCCCTAAGGCAGTTGCAGCGGTGGTCAGAAATGGCCACCTCAAAGAAGAACTCGACCAGAAAAGAATGTGCAGGAGGAAGTTAAGAAGAGAAAGTTTTGGTTGACCAGGTTAAACTGCAACTTAGGTACCTGGAATTTAAACTAAAAAAAAAAGTAACATTGTTCCCAAAGAAGACTTTGAAGCAGCGAAGGAGAGAGAAAAGGGAAAGGATTTGGTTTTTTTCTTCTCTCCCTTTTCCTATACTGACAGCTAAGAGATTTAAATAAGAAATTGGGAAAAAAAATCCACTTTGACATCGATAGGCATTTAAGCTGAAAATAAATTGTCAAAGGGATAATAAAGATTTCTGGATACTTAAAAGCATTTAAAAGCAGGAAAGGAGAGAAAAAGAATAAAAGGGCAGGATCTGGAAAAAAGGGAGGAGACTGCCTGGAATTAAAAGGAATTTACAGTAAAACCTCAACAAGACTTTTAAAAGATACATTTTAACTGAAACTTGGCAACAAAATAGTAGAACCCCAGGAAGAGAAAGTGGAAAAAAGAAGCATGAAGAAACAGCTTGGGAGTATTTGGATTATTTGGTGATCTCTGGATTTTTGGTTATTGCATTTAAATGACTAAAATCAATCGGGTGGTTGTTTAAAAGTGTTTAAATGGCACTACTTTTAGATGAACTGAAAATGGAACTTAAAAAGTACAAAGAAGATGCACAAGAAGGTAGAGGTTCTTTTGGCTTCATATTTCAATTCTTAGAAATGGAGATTGGGAACTATGAGAAAAACAAGAAATGCCTGCAGAACAAGAAGACTGGGACAAAGAAGAAGCCATCTTTAATGAACAAGTAATCTTAGGTGAGGGAAAAAAGGAAAGGGGGGAAAGAGAATGGAGAATTTAAGACTTAAAAAAACAACCAAAGAAAATAAAAATAATTCAAAAAATAAGTATAATATTAGAAAGCAACAGAAGAGGGGAATACAGAAGAGTAATAGAGGTAGGGAGACAAGGGGGCAAAAAGGGGAGAGGGAAGAAGAGAGGGAAGAAGGAAAGGAAAAGAAGTTATAAAGGACAGAAACAAGATATGGAGAAACAGGGCCTATTTAGAGATAATGGGTGAAAATTTAATTGAAAAAGGGATTCTGCAAAGGTACATAAGATAGTATTGTTAGATTAGAAATAGGAATAATTTTAGAAAATATGAAACAATGTATGATTAAAATGATGGATAAAATACTTATTGTAATCTAGTGAAATGTTAATAAATAAATGAAATAAAATGAATGAGAGAATTGAATTAGGAAAGGATGGGAACATTTTAATTATTTAATGTTTTATAAAATATAAGGGAAGAGAAATACGGGGGGAGGAATTAATTACGGAAAGCTTATAAGTGTTCCCAAGGAAGTATGATATATAATTGAAAAGAAATGTTAAAGATGTTAAGACTTTAATGAATACTAATGATAGAACTTAATTGGAATGGAGTGAATGTTTTAATTACATATATTTATAATCATTTTTTAAAGAATATAGTGTGTATTTTAAGAATGTACCAAGCAGAATTCAATTGGAATTTATGTATTATATTGAATGTTATAACCTCAAGATATATATTGAAGCTTAAATAAGAGTTGAATGGATAAAATTAAAAGATATAAAGGTGTCATACTCCAATTAGTAACTACAGGAGAAAATTTGTTTAATGAGAAAAGAAAATATGAAATTGAAACAGGACAGACAAAAGTATAAATATAATGATTTGAATTGAGATGAGATAATTGAAATAAAATTGAGAAAATTAAGAGAGGAGAAAAACTATGTAGAAAATGTAAAACAGTAATAAGATATGGAATAGAACATAAAAGTGAGCATAAAATTGAGTTTGTGTCTGTATGAAGAAGGGTAACCTGGGACCATGCTATTTTCAAAAAAAGATGTTTTATTTGTATTATGGGTTTTTTTGTGAAAACCCAAATAAAACTTTCAACAAAAAAAAAGATTTTAATATTCTGAGAGAACAAGGTAATTTTTCTCCAGATATGTTTTCAACGTTATCCATGATTATATATTTTCATCATGCCTGTCCTTACACAAAATTACTAATATTTTCATAGTATTTTGTAAGGGAAGGCAGACATAAATTGCACGTCTCATATTCTCTTCCAAAGAAAATAATTTCAAAAATGCCCTCCAATCCTCAGGGAACCACACTAATTACTAATACTCAGTAGCCACATTGTTACAACTCCAACAACAAATAGATGTACAAATGACCAACTTACAGGTTGCCACAATATAACTAATGCAACAACTGGGACAGAATTTTCCTCAACTAACAAAAGGAAAGCATATTTTACTCTTGTTATTGTTAATTTGGAGGGTGGAACTTTCTGTTCTTGTAGATCCTGGGACAACTACTATCTTCATAGACATAGAAATGGTAAAGAAGTTAAAATTGCTGACCTAATCCCTATAAAGCCTAATGATTCTTAAAAGTATGTATGGTAGCCAACGGTATTTAGTCTATTATGTGGTTTTTTTCTAGTCCATGGCAATTAGAAACTTAGCTTTGAGTAAGGTATTGGTGACCTGTAACAACTGTAGTCCACAACAAAGCAAGAGAACTAGTTGCCAAAATCCAAGTCCAAGCATTCAAAGCAAGGTTGTATTGTACAGGAAGTAAAGATTGTTGGAATTAATATCAGATTTTGCTATTTACAAATAAAACAGAGTTATCAAAGTAACAAGAATCAAAAAGCTCAGATTAATAATATTAGATAAAAGGAATTAATGGAGCAAATCAACTTTAATGGAAATCTCTGAATTCTGTTGCAACCCCATAAACATTCAAAACATGTTCTTAAATATATACTGTATAGTTTTAAAACAGCTATAGGTTTATCTGTACTGTAAATTTTTTTAACTTTCCTTACCATCAGTAACTTGAACTTCATCATTAATTGGGAATGACTTGCTCTGAGAAAGAGTTAACATTGCAGTATCTTGGAGTATTTGTGAAGCAGTTGTCCCAGGAACCACACCAGTTAATAGCACTTCTATCTTTTCCTCCAATCTACTGCAGGCACGGCAGCATACAACAGCTAGAAAAAATGTGTGAGATATTTTTTAGTTTTCATAACTTTATCTTTGAGCATATTATACATGAAGAGCCATTGTAATATGTAGAAGACGCTTGTTACAAAAGTAGTCAGCATCTTAATTTGAAGGATATGTTTCTCACGCTTGAAAATCACAGTATTATCACAATATTTATAACAACATTTACACATCTCTGAAATATATACCAAAAGAACTTTTTTAAAAAAAAATTAAAATAAACTTTATTTACAAGAATTAAAAACATACAAATTTGAAAATACAAAACCAATAATGTATACATAACACATTCCTCTTTCTATTTGATATTGAATTTGATACATCCTGGTAATCATTACTAATCTCACATTTCCATTAACTATCAAATCTTAATCACTGTGCAACTTGCAATACTTTACTAACCTTCTCGTTGGATTATAACTATTTATTAATTAATAATAAATAATAATATATTCATACTTTTTAAATAATAAATAATAAAATATAGGGAATATAAAATGCTAGTAATAATAATGTAGAAGAAAAGAATATTTAACACCTTTGTTATTCTTGTACATTTCATAAAGACAGTTGAATATAATTTGTTGCTAGGGTTCATTCGTTTTCCCTTTACGGTCTACCCAGTTGTACCATTTGTCCCATACCCTATAATAATCTGTGTCCTCCTTCCCATTGATTTTGAGTGTGAGCCTCTCCCATTGGGCACACTCATACGTTTTTTGAATAGTAATATGTATCGGTGGTACATTTGGATTCTTCCAATATTGTGCTAATGAAATCCATGCCACCGTCAATAAGTGGATGGTCAGATATCTTACTTAAGGGGAACAATCCCCTTTAATCATTCCCAACAAGAACAGTTCAGGTTTCCACTCCAGCCCACACTCTGTAATTTCTTCTATCCACTCTTTTATTTTTAACCAATACTTCTTTGTCTCAGGGCAGGTCCACCATAGATGGAAATAAGTGCCAAAGGGAAATTTGGCATTTAAAAGAACTTTTTATTCATTCATGTAAAAAATAAATCTTGGTCTTCTTTCATCTTAGTCTGGAGCTACAAACTGCTTTAAAGTTCCTGCCTATTAGTATGTAGAGATGGTGTCAAGAAACATATCCATCCATTCACATTGGGCTATTTAGTGCAGATTGTAATCCAAGCAGAATTTGTGACCCTCGGATATAGTTCAGGAGGCATCTGAATCTCCTATTATCCAGTAAGGATTTAGAACTCCAATAAGCTGTGAAACACCTATTTAATTAAAAAAGAAGATACAGAAGAAAGGCCTGATCCCAATGAAATCAACTGCATATAGCCTTCCAAACACTATAATAATCCAGATAAGAGCAGGGGTGGGTTTCTACTGGTTCGCAACGGTTCTATAGAACCTGTTGTTAATGTCACCGGTAGTTCTCAGAACCGGTAAAACCGACCCCTGATTGGCCCCGCCCCTCTCCACCACTCCTACGGGCCAAAAACAGGTTTTTATTACTGAGAATGTGCAAATATCCCTTCCTCATTCTCCCCTACCTGCCCTCCCTTCACTGCCCCGGCCCCTGCCCCTATCCGCTGCTCCAAAGTAAAAAAAAACCCATTTTTTTTAAAAAAAACAGGGTTTTTTACTGCGCATGCACGAAAATCCCTTCCGCATTCTCCCCCACCCGCCCCTCCCTTTGCTGCCCCAGCCCCACCCCTATCCACTGCTCCAAAGTTAAAAAACCCAGTTTTTTAAAAAAAAACAGGTTTTTTTACTGTGCACGTGCAAAAATCCCTTTCTCATTCTCCCCGCTCTCCCCGCCCTGCCCCTACTTATAGCGCATGTGCGCTAATTACAAACATTTACCCACATGGCGTCATCGCTCACACCACCACCAGCAGCAGTGAAGCAGCAGCAGCAGCTGAGCCAGCCTGCTGGCCAGCCAGCCAGCTGTCCGTCCCTGCCTGCCTTTTGCTGTCTTGCTGAGTGAGGGCAAGCCGCAAGCCCCAGTCACCACCGCCGCTAACTGTCCTCACCCGGCCAGCCTGCCTTGCCCTGCCTGCCTCCCACTGCCATCACTAGCCATCCTCACTCGCCCTGCCTGCCTACCCCGCTGCCAGCCTCCGAAGACATGGATTGGTAAGTACGATCCTCCAACCCGGTCGCCTACCTACCACCGCCAGCCCTGGTTGCCCGCCCCATCTTCCCTCACCCGTGGCCCTCCATTGTTGCTGCCTTCCCTTCCCACCACTGATTGGTAGTGAGGACGCAAACCAGCAACTCCTGCTGCTGGCCCGGTCCCCTACCTCCTCCTGCCACCTCCGCTGCCAGCCCAGTTGAGAGCCGACTCCTGGGCCGGCTGTCCTCACCGCAGCAAGCGAGAAGATTGAGGAGGACCCCGGCATAGTTGGCTAGCCAACTTGCCTGTCTCCTTTTTGGTAAGTTGCTTTTTTATATTTATTTATGTATTTATTTATTTTTTTACTATCTGATTTTGTTTTTATTAATCATAAAAACAAAATGTACTAAATAAATAAATAAACACATAAATAAATATTATTTTACTATTCATCTTGATGCTTCTTTCTCCTTTGTTTAAAGAAACATCAAGACGAATAGTAAAATATTTTTTATTTATGTATTTATTTATTTCTTTAGTATCTGTTTTGTTTTTATGATTAATAAAAACAAAAACAGATAGTAAAAAAATAACTAAATACATAATTTAAAAAAGCAACTTACCAAAAGGGAGAAAGGCAACTTCTTGTTACATTGATGTTATACATTATCTGTTTCTGCTTAAATCAATATATAGCAACATCAGTGTAACAAGAAGTTGCATGCAGGCCCTTCCGGTTTGCCAGGCTTCAGTGGCGGTGGGGATTTGTGACTGTGCGCGATCCCTGTTGCGCTAGCCATCTTGGTGCCTCCGATCCTGATGGGTCTGGAGGATAAGGCTGCCCCGTAGAGGCAGCCGAAGAGAGGGAGGATCTGGGAAGGGGTTTGGGGGTGTCGCAGACCCCCTCCTCACCCAGCTTAACCTCCTTTTCTCAAGGCGGTGGAGCGGCAGTCAGCAATGGCCGCCACAAAGAAGCCAGCAGCTGGAAAAGATTGTGCTGGAGGAAGAAGGAGAAAGAAGAATCAGAAGTGAAAGTGTTGGCTGAGCCGGGAAAATAACAACCTTTAAAACCCTGGAACGGAATTGCTTGAATTACCTGAAAGATACATTGTATCCCTAAGAAGAGAAAAGCGGCAGAGAAAGCTGTCAAGGGAAAACTTTTATTCACTCTCCCACCCCATAGAAATAGCAGACGGAGACTTGGAAAATATATTTGGGCACTGAAGGTAATTTAACTTGAAAGTTATGAGAGAAAGGATTTTGGACTTTGGATTAACAACTTCAGAAATTGGAAAACCCATATTTGAGGTATGGATTTCTGAGCGTTTAAAAGGAAATTGCTGTTGTAAGTTGGGGGGAGAGGAAAAAAAATTTTTTGGAGCAGAGCTTGAAAAAGGAGGAGACTGCCTAGAACTTTAAAGAAAGATATACTTCAATGGGAACTTTTTGATCAATTAGTAACCCCAGAAAGAGAAATAGAAGAAGGAAAAAAAAAGTATTAAAAGAAATAGTTTATTTGGATCCTTTAGTGACTTTGGAATTTTTTGGAATTATTCTTGATTAAAAATACTTGGGTGGTTGTTTTTGAAGAAGTTTTTCTCTTCATGATGGCATTGCTTCTGGATGAATTAAAAATTCAATATCAAAAATATAAAAAAGAAGAGCAAGATGGAAAAGATACTTTGGGCACTTTTTTTCAATTTTTAGAAATGGCGGTATGCACTTATGAAAAACTGACTACGCAGCAGGATGACTGGAATAAAGAGGAAGAAGAAGCCATCTTGGATGAACAATGGGTTTTCTTTGGGGAGGAGGAAGAGGAAAAGAAAAAGGGGATTTTAAGGTTTGAGAAAACAATCCAAAAAGAGAAAAATGAGATGAAAGGTGGATACAAGGTTAGAAAACAACAGAAAGGGGATAAGCAGAAGAAGAAAAGGGAGGAGGAGAGACAATGGGGTAAAAAAGGCAAGGAGAAAAATAAACAAGAGAGAAAGGAGGGGATGAAAAGCCTTAATGGTGGGAAGCAAGACTTAAAGAAACAAAATCTATTTAGAGACAATGGGTAAATTTAATTGAAAAAGGGATTCTGGAAGGTACATAAGAGTGTGTTTTTGTATGTGTATTTAGAGTAAAATGTGTATTAATATACATGATTAGCTTTTTAATGGTATCTATGGTGGGTTATATGCTTCTATTTTGAAATTGTAGTGTACTTGCTTTTCTTATAAAATTTATTGTGTAATTTTAGAATGTAGTAATCAGAATCCCAATATAATATAAGTGTTATATTAAGCATTAAGTTAGGGGAAAGAGTCAAAGGCGTTACTCCAATCAGTGTACAGGAGAAGTATATTTAAAGAGAAAAGATGGATGAATAACTGGAAAAGAACAGACAAAGAATGATAAGTATTATGAATTGTATTGAGATAAGATAAATAAAATAAAACTAAGAAAGATAAAAGAGGGAAGAAGCTATATAGAAAATTGAAAATGGTAATAAGATATGGAATGATATATAAAGTAAATATGATTTTTGAATTTGCATCTGTGCGAAGAGTTTTAACCCGGGATTAAGCAGATTTCAGAAATGATGTTTTTTATGTTTTATGTCTTGTATGTTTGTGTATTGTTTTTTGAAAGGCAAAAAAATTTAATTAGTAAGAAATATAATCTGGATAATAGAATGAAAAAGAGAAATTGGGATAAGATATGAAGTTGAGCAGATAACGTAAATATACATATTACAATTTGGAAATATTTTGTATGTTCTACTGGTTTTTCCAGAAAGATCTTTTATGTTATTATGCCTTGATTGTCTGTGTATTCTGTAAAGTTAATAAAATCTGTTTAAAAAAAAAAAAGAAGTTGCATGCATACATAAATGAAATTT